AGAGAGGGAAATGAGACCTTTCTGTTCCTCTGTCTTGCCATGTCATTAGCCATGTAAAAAACTAAGAACACAGCTAAAAATGTCTCCTAAAATTCCATTTCAGATAAGTACAAACATGTGACATGAAGCAGGGCCCACACATACCAAATAGATGTTCTTACCCCCCGTTTCTAAAGTTTCTTTCTGTTTTTTTAGACTTCTTAACTAGCTTGACTAATGTGACCTTTCTTAGGAAAAACTTTAACTGGGAAAGATAGTAATAGGGACTGACTTCTATAATTCACAAACATGAAAACTTAGCAATGATTTTTACAAATATTTAATTCTCTTAGGAAAAAATTTAACTGGGAAAAATAATAGGGACTGACTTTCTATAATTTATAAAAGTGCAAATTTAGCAATGATTTTTACAAATACTTACTACATTAAAATTATGTACCTTATAGAGGGTCTCAGTTTAGGGTATAATCCCATTTAATTATGACAACATCGTTACAGGTGCAAAAGAGATATGATATCTGTAGGCTAGTCATCTGTATTAGTCTATGATTAAAAAACCCTATATATTTCTCTCTTTGAATTGTTTTTCATTTTATAAAAAAGCAAGTGACTCTTCTATCATTAATAGACAGGTCTTCATTAAGTACAGAGAAAACATAAAAACATATTAATTATGTCCCTAGTATGTACAAAATCAGATCAATGCCAATAGCCATCCCTGGGAATGAATAATGTTTATCTGGGAGCTTGCTTGAATTGTTTTTTCAAGGAGTATCCCAGTAGCCCATTTTCACCCATAAAGTGATCTATGGCTCATACTTGCTGGTTCATGCTTGGAAATTCAGGAGCACTTTCTCTGTAAATATCAGGTTATGAATTTGACAAATGAGAAGAAAATATTCAAGTGGGATATATTTGCATATAGTCAATTTGCTAGCAGTTAAAAAATCTACAGTTTTGATGCACCATGCAATTCTCTGTCCGGTATCCTAAACTGTAAAATATATGACATTTATCCTACCTCTTCCATCGCGCCTACTTACAGATATCCTAATGTCTAAGCATGTGGGCTCATTTCTCAACATCTTTTTAATCTTATTCCAAATGTTGCCTGAACCAACCCTACAAAACTTTAAACACAGAACATTGTCTCTTGCCTTCTACCTAAAATGATGGTGACTCAAATCTTGGCCATTTAGCTTAGAAATAAATGTAATTTATTGCTGTTATAACTATCCATAGTCCTGTTCCTGCTGGACCAGATGCAAAGAGGCTTTGTTGCTTCCATTATGATTTTTCTCCTTTCATTTGGGTAAATATATTTGTAGTTATGATTTCGGAGATAAACCAGTAAAAAAAAAATAGCTCATTTTTCCTCTACACAATATATTGTCAGATCATTGCTTACAAAGGGTTGGTATAAATGCCTGCACCACAGTAATGATGCTGAGTTTTATATATAGATTCAAGATAGGGAGATTTCAAAGGCATGACAATTCAGCTATAGATATATTTGGAATTAATGTCATAAAATTGGTCACAAAGTTTTTTTTTATGACACAAAGAGCAAAATGTCTTTTTCCTTTCCTTTTTTTTTTTTTTAAGGAATATAAGTGCTTCCAGATCACTTTTGAAATAAATTACAGTTTTCAGGTTCACATTTGAAAGAATTATTAATGCCATTTGCAAACACCAACAAAACAGACTGAACAGAGAGATTCCTCTAGGAAGAGATTAAGGAAATCATTGAATTCTCCAATCAATAGGAGATACCATCTAAATTCCAGTTTCAAGGCATTGTATTCTCCGGATCACCATTAGATGAGCAAACATGGGACATTAAAGGATGGTTAAGTACTGACCAACACAGAATCTGGAAACCAGATTTAGCCTCTAGGATTTTCCAGAAGACATTCTAGAAGAGGTTGCTGCCACTGACACCCAAAGGCAATTGTTCTTCTTAGGAAAGAACTTTATATGGAATTTAGGCCCTAGGGCCAAAACCTACAAGGCATTTATTACTAGGTGATACGATAAGTTTAATAAAAGTTGAAATAACCATGAAAATAGTGTCTTTAAAAATCTATGTACTATTAGTAACAATGCATGCATAGTGCCAGGCATTCATTAATTGTTTGGTCATAAAAATATGTGACTGTCGTTATGGTATTTACAGCCAATGTATAAAAATACATCTAATTCTGAATGGCAATGGTTAATCTCTATCTCTAGCCACAAGCCTAGAAAGTTAGCTTATTATGTGAAGGTGTAATGGGTAATTACAAAATGGACAAAGCTCTCACCCTCTTGAATTCAACATTCAAGAATGGCTATTATAGCATCATAGGAGCTTCCTTTGTCACAATTCTTCTAAGCTCACAAGATAAATCCAAAAATTCTGTGGGAATAAACAGGAATTAAATGGGAAAGGGACACTCACATGATGCAACCACAGTGGAGAATAATTCTTTCATAGAATATTCATGCACAACTTTCAAAGAGGTTCACAGTCCCTGAAAGAATTAATTGGATGACCTTTAAGTACACCCTTCATTTAGAAAAAAGTCAGTAAGATTGAAGTTAGCATATGATTACCTTTAAGTAAAATAGGTTAAGAATTTAACTTGTAGCCAAATCTACAATTGTAGCTTTCTACAATTTAAATGAGTACCTCTTTGAAGCTTTATTAACCATTGAGAGTAGGCTCTTATGGGTTCTCCAATTTAAATATAAATTCTGATGGAAGAAAACAAATTTACATTCAGTTTAAATTAAGAAAAGCTGTGGTTTTTACAAACTTGAAACCTCTCACTTTAAGAAAAACACGTGTTCCAACAAAATAAAATATTCTACATATCTGAGGCATTTCCTGAAGATTTCTTCTCTTCTAGGAGTTGATTGGCCATCTTCTAGCAGTAGATAAATTCCTTATTTGAACACCATCATTATTTCACAAGTGGACAAAGAACAGAAGAAAATTTGAAAAACCGGGGAGAGTTGCACATAAGTTATTGAAAAAGGCAGAGGTTGGGTGTTAATCTGCAAATCATGATCTCATATTTTAGAATGTATTTTGGCATTCAGTAAATGGAATTCTTAGAAACATCTGTTCCAGAGTGAGGTTGGAAGGTCATATGATGCTGTTAGAGTCTCCCTGGACTTAACTTACTGTCTGGAGCTGCGATAGGCCATTTGAGTGGTATATTAACTTTTCCAGAACAAGAAATTCCATTTCAGTGATTTATTGCTACAGTACACTAAAAGTGCCATAGTATCCTGGAAAAGAAAATGTCCTTCTAAAATTCCACACCGCTAGTCACTTGAACAATGAGAAATTCATATTTATCTTAGTAACTTTAATCCTTGAAGATATAACCCCCAAAAGAACTATTTTTCCTCTTCCAAATAGACACTACACAAATGATATTGGAAATATCAGTGGTTTGGCAATATATGCCACTATCCCCATATGCATTTGGCAACTGTCATGCTCGATTCTTTCTTTATGTATCATCCTGCAACATTCTGTGCATGTGCAATTGTAGGTAATTAAGGAAAAAGTAGGCAAGCTTTTTAAAAATTGGTAAGTGCTTGGGAGAATGGCATGACCTAGAAAGAAGTAGAGTGATATGATAATTAATGGATTTCCTCAGGTAATTACCTCTTATCTTTTGAAAGAGATGTAAAGAAGGGTAAAACAAATCACAAATAATGAGTAAACTGTAAAAGAAGAATCGTGCCCTCCACCCTCCACCCCCCACTCAAAAACCACACCCAATTCTTCAGAAATTTCTGTTTCAGATATGAGATCATGATCTGCATGTCTACTAGTGCCAAACACCAGTTCATTCTAGCAGAACAGTTCAGGAGGTAAAAGGCTAGGGTTATCTGTGACATGACTTTACATATAATGCAAGAACAATAACCCTATGTTTATGGCAATTATTTTCCGTACTTGATCTATTGATATTGTGACCAGATAAACACAATTGAAAAGATATACATAATTTCTAACAGGAACTCAATTGCATCAAGGTAGGACAAATCAAACTCCATTTAATAAAATAAAGTTTGGCTAAATTTTTTATTTTATTTTAGAAACAGTTCTCCTTTCCCTTAATTTGTGGTAAACTCTCTGTAAAAGGTACACTGTTTTGTTACTTCATTCATCCATAATGTTTATTTCCAAAGATTACCTCTACTATCTCTCTTTTCTGAACTTAATTCAGTCCAGGAGATTGAATTTTTCTCTTTTTTTTCTTAGGTTTAATATTTGAGATTCAATTAAAATATACAATCAAAGTTAAGTGGGAAACAGTTGCTCTTTTCCAGGTAAAAGAGTTTACTAACGGATTTTATAATCGTTGGGTATTTGTTCAGTCCTACCTGAAAATTAACTTACTCGACTACTTGGCACAGGAAAAGGCATTTTCTAGTAATTTCCTGTGACAGGACGCACACACTAATCCAAGTAAGCATCCAACAGATTTAGTCTATCTGCTGGGGAGTAGTTCTAAACTTTAGCTTTTAAGCTTTTTTGAGAGAGGATTTGGTCTCCTTTACAATTACTTGCCACCCGTGGGAAGCTACAATCACCCTAGAAGGTGGGCCTACCAAGGAGCACTCTTCAGGTAACACGAACAATGATATGGCAAGAAGCTACAAAATAGTAGTTGCAGTAACCACCACAATAGTGATTGTGGCTTGGGTTAATGTTTCAAATATCAATTCAAGGAACGTAAGAGACTTTATAGGATTAGAATATTTTCAATACACTGAGAAGCAGTAGATGGTGCATGAGGAATGATGATGACCCATTTATTCCATATCATTCTACTAGCTTCCTAGTTATGCCTCCTTTCTTACATAGTAATTTTCTCTCTTCCATGGCAATATATTTTTACCATCTAAAATGAGAACTTTAACTATTGCCCCCCCCACTCTCTCTCTCTCTCTCTCTCTCTCTCTCTCTCTCTCTCTCTCTCTCTCTCTCACACACACACACACACACACACACACACACACACTAACTAGTGAAGGCTTATACACACATGTATAGACAGTACATATAAAAATGCTCATTTGCAATGGTTGAGCTCTCTGAAAGCAGCCAAATCAACCTCCTTAATTACAGAGAACCATTAAAAGCCAATAAAAAATGTCAACTATTTAGCTTTAACACAAGATTTTAAACCTTGTCCATGTGGCCACTAATTCATATGCCCTTTGTGTTTTTGTTTGTTTGTTTGTTTGTTTTTGTGTTTTGTTTTTTTTTACTAAGTCTTCCAAAGCAAGAATCTCAAAGACTGACAATATGATATATAGAATCTAATAGAGTCATCTCTGATCATTTTGCTTAACACAGTTGAATAATACTCTTGCTGCTGAAACACTGGAGTTGATTTCGAATGGCCATGAAGGCTCCTTATTTGGCTAAGGCTGATTTGAATTTCTAGAGAAAGGCCATCCTATCTGCAAATGGACATCTCTCCCCCCCACACACACATAAATGCCAATGTACAGTAAAGACACACATATATGTACACAGAAAATGGATCAGGAAGTCCTTTGGTTTAGACGGGATTAAATATGTACTTCCCAAGTGCATAGGTTTCCTTTGACCAACCTGTTCAAAAACCAAATATGAAAAGTGCCATGGCAGTTTTGACATTTTCTATGTCTTTTCCCCTATTTGGAGGCCCTTTCCCTCTCTTCTCCCCTCTCCAGCTCTCCTAAGCATTTTAATTGAAAGCAGTTGGTTCTTTTGCACTTTTAATACTTGACTCATTCATTTCTTGGAAGAGCTCTAAGATCACATCCAGAAGCATCTTTAGTGGAGAACAAGGTTTCCCCTTCTTTGATTCCCTCTTTCCCCCAAGAAGTGGACGCCTTGACGTGTCATGAGGAATTCACTCTTGATCTGACTTGCCTTGTTACCCCTGGCCAGCCCAAACAGCTGAGGTCTGAGCTTTACTCGCCCTGCATCATTGTGCAATTCTGGAAAAGAAAAAAAAATAATCCATTAGTGACACCTTCAGACTGTGGTGACGTGATCAGGGTTCTCTTGAATTTCTATGCATTCAATCTCCTCTCTCTCCTTTCGCTTGGCACGTTTCTTTTTCTTATGGTGCTTTTTGGAAGGGGGGAAGAAGGTTAGGAACACAGGTAAGATAACAAAACAGTGCAGAAGTGTGCAACCCCCGGTGAGCAGCAAGCATTTGAACAGTGTGAAGGTCAGGTTCGAAGGCACAAATAGGAGGGGGACCAACCCAATAAGAAAACAAGTAATATTTTGCAAAATGGCTGTCCCATGCTCTTGCAGGGAGATTTTTATACATTGCGTTCGGGTGTGCTCGGTTGCTAGTACAAATGTGTAAAGCAGTGGTGCACAGTGGTCAATGGCGAAATTTAAAGTGTAGATAAGGCACAAGATAGAAATGCAATCCATGTCAACGTTCCATAATGTCATTAAGCCCAGGACCCCCAGCTCAATTGAGGTGACGCTGAGAATCAGCCAGAAGTTTCCCAGAGGGTGGATCACTAGGAAGAAAGTCAGGATTAACACCAGGAGAACACCAAAGCCTGCGATCAGAACAGGCACTGTGACCGACAAGCCATACTGGTCCATAAATACAAAGGAGGGGTTGAACACGATGAATCGGATGCTCTTGGAGAGGGACAGGGGCCTCAGCTTTTCCAGCACTTCTATGACTTCCTTCTGCTTATCTCTGCTCGTCCTGGCCACCAGGTACAAGCGAGAAGCAATGATGTTGCTCTCATCCCCTGCCTTGGAGAAGATGATGTCATTGCGAAAGTGCTGGAATTCTGGCTTTTTGAGAAATGAACTCTGCAGGACGCTGATGAAGTCGCTCTTGTTACTGGCACTGATGTTGCTAACTTTTAGGAACTGGTAGTACTGCTCCACCCAGGACATGGCAGTGAACCCACTGCAGAGTCTCCGCAGGTCCTCCTGGACACTGCTGTTCCAATACTGCAGGGGCTCATAGACGTAGAAGCCTATCACAGGGCTGTAGTTGCTGAAATATTTCTGCTGGACCATGGCGTAGGAAACACTCGGGGAATCGCTGGCCAGCAGGTTGATGGTGTTGGCTCTGTCGCTGATCTGCAGGCACCCCATGAAGGAGAAGGAGGAGTAAATGAGATAGAGGATGACCACAAAGGGCTTCACGTAGATGTTGGTAATCCACTCGTTGTAATGCTCACGGAGGAAGTGCTGAACGAAGTGGTGCTGGTAGGGGTTCGTCTCATGATGGGATGTCTGCTGGTGCCCGTCACTCATCACGGTCTGGAACCACACGGGCTTGCGGTCCAGGTACTCGGCAGAAGGGATTTTACAGCAAAAGATGCTGTGGTAGCGGTTTTGCTCCAGCTGGCCCGCGAAGACCAGACAGGAGCCAAAGAAAGAAAAGATGTAGAAGTAGTTTAACAGAATGGAGACACACATGTTCTGACAGAAGACCTTGACAGCCTCTAGGTTTGTGAACGGGCTGGCACCCATGCCAAAGGTAATGAGGTACAGGGAGCTGGTCATGGTATAGGTGACCATCACGTCAGAATAGGCATCTGCTACCCTGTCTTTGAAGGGCAGGTTTTCTCTGGTTCTCCGCCATCCAGACAGAAGCTCAAATACTCCTTTAGTTCCATGACCTAATTTAAGAAAAGAAGAAACAGAATAATTGTTGTTTTATTTTTTTTTCTCCTACATGAATCCAAATGAATTCCTGATAGGTTATCTAAGGTCAACAGTACTTTATACTCTATTCCTCCTATCAGGATCTCAAAATTTGAGTTACATAGCAGGACACATTTGCTCCATGTTCCCATTTTAGGAAACTCCAGATTTATTGGATGGAAAAAATGAAGTATTTATTATCCATTCTATTAATTTGACAAGTTGTAATATAATGTGGCATTATCTGCACACACATTATCTCCTTAAATGGACTATAAAGTGTCAAGAGTAGGGGCTGTTAGTCCTTCAACACCAACTCAGCGCTTGATCAAGTGATGTGTTGACTGATAGTCCCTAACCTCCATTTCAGGCTGATTTACATTCTGATTTAGGAAATCAGAAGATGATTTTAAACACTTAAAAATGGCTTTAGATTGATTTTACAATGTTAATAATCTGCTTGGTGGCCAAATGGCTTAGAAACTGATCCTATAGGTTTGACTTACACTGGATGTGAGTTAAAAAAATAAAAACCTGCCAAGTCATGTAAAAGATAAGACAAGACTATCACAAGGCAAGACCGGCAGAGCAAGAGATCACAGCTACCATTTCCTCTGGGCTCCTCAAAGAAGCTTTATTCACAGAGATGCAAACTGACTAAACATTTGACTGCCTCATTCAAATACATAGAAAATGCTTATTTTTTATAGCCAGCTTCTTTGCACATTTTGATAAGGGTAAATGGACAAAAAAAAATTATTCAAAAATACTACTTGAACACCTACTATGTGTCTGAAGCTCATAGATACTGAGATGTTTTATTTCAGGAACTTGACAGCTCTTAGGATACCACCATTTGCTTCTTTCTTACAAAATCAGTAACTGTAAAGGTATCATACTATACCTGCAGTTTCTCTTTTGTTTTTCACTTGCCTGAGTTAGCTCTGTCAATGATCAGCCAGTCGATAACTGTATGCCTGAATGGAAATCTTCATAGATTAGTCTTGCCCTTGTAGCCACAGCAGCACTACAGACCAACCTTTTCTATGCCTGCACTGAAGCTGTGCTAGATAAAAATGTAGCATAAAGGTACCAAATGAACAAGTTTAAGAAAACCTGGAAAGTGGACTTTGTGTAGCACCTAGAGAGTAGAGTTCTGCGTTACAGACCCAGTTTACTTAGCAGTGCTTTGACAGACATACTATCATGGCCTAAGTCTCACTATAATCATTGATTTTGTGTTGTTCATAGAGTTTGCTAACTGGCCTACATAATTCCTTTTCTTCCTTGTCACTTTTATTTGGGACTACAATGTGCACAATTAAAAACTTTATTTCTCAGCCAACCTTTCAACTAGGGGTGGTTCATGTGACATATTCCTGGACAATGTGATGTAAGAAGTCATTTAAGGATGCTTATTAGAAAACCAGACGGAACTTTGTTCCAAATGACATCATGGAGCCACCAACAAGAGCCTTAGCCTATCTTCCTTAAAGAAAATCAAAACTCCATTTGTCTAAAAGGAGTGGTTATATGCAAGTAAACTACTCCTAACCAACTAAGTTTTGTAAGTGAGTTAACACCTACCCAAACTTCTTTTATGGGGATCTAAGGATTCTTGCTTTATAGTTAGACCATGGAATTTACAGTTTTAAGTGTATATAATGCTGATCTTTGATTTTAAAGATACATTGGTCTGCCTATTCTGGGAGTTACTATTAACTATTGTTATTGCACTGGAGTTATTATTTCAAATAAAAACCTATTTATTATTCTCCAAAGTTTTCTCTTCTGAGTTTCCAGTCAGGAAAGATCCTTTAAGCAAACAAGTAGAAAGGATTCTGAGAGCAATCTCCTTTGAGTAACTACCCCAAAACTCAAAAATATTTATTCACAAAGACATATGCATTATTCATTGCAACATTATTCACAGTGGCCAAGACCTGGAGACATCAAAGTGTCCTTCAATAGAGGATTGGATTAAAAAGATATGGTACATATATACCGTGGAATACTACTCAGCCATCAGAAAAGATGAAATACTGCCACTTGCAACAACATGGAGGGACCTTGAGATTATTACGCAAAGCAAAATAAATCAGTCAGAAATACCTAAGAACCAAACAATTTCACTCATATGTGCAATATAAAACTGAAACTCACAGACACAGACAACAGTGTGGTGGTTACCAGAGGGAAGGGGGTAGGGAGTAACAAAGAGTAAAGGGAGCCAAATATGTGGTGACAGAAGATAATTTAACTTTGGGTGGTGGGCATATAATGCCATGTGTCCTGGAGATGTAGACTTGAAACATATATGGTCCTATTAACCAATGTCACCCCAAAATAATGTAATAAAAAATTACTAACCCAACATATATGATCACTGAATTAAGTCTAATGATTCTTTTTTTAAGTTTAATGTTCTTTTTTAAAAATATATTTTATTGATTTTTTTTTTTACAGAGAGGAAGGGAGAGAGTTAGAGCAGCGTTTTTCAACCGCTGTTCCGCGGCACACTAGTGTGCCGCGAGATGTTGCCTGGTGTGCCGTAGTTGCAGACAAGACAAGAATTTTATAATTTTTCACTATTTTGTTTACTTAATATTTCATAATAAAGTAATTATAAAACACTTTTTTTTGTGTTTATTTGATTCCTATTCAAGAGAATTACTTTATATATAGTCAATATAGGCACAGAGTTAAATTTTTTAACATTTTCTAATGGTGGTGTGCCTCATGATTTTTTTCATGAAACAAGTGTGCCTTTGCCCAAAAAAGGTTGAAAAACACTGGGTTAGAGAGTGAGAAACATCCATGAGAAAGATCGATCAGCTGCCTCCTGCACACTCCCTAATTAGGATGTGCCTGCAACCAAGGTACATGCCTTTGACCAGAATCGAACCCAGGACCTTTCAGTCCGCAGGCCAACGCTCTATCTACTGAGCCAAACTGGTTTTGGCAAAGTCTAATGATTCTTAACATCAATTGTTAATTTCCATCTTCTGCAAGACTCCATGACCAAACAGGATACTTATTTGTATTCCCTTGACAAAAATGTAATATTAGGATATTAGTTAAGTTAATTAAAATAATTAAATAGAGCACTTCTCTTCTGAAATGAGGACTCTTGCTATCTTTGTAGCCACAAGGGGAGGGAAAAGGGTACATGGGGCTACAGCTAAATTTGCCTTGCCTTTGCTAATGGTCACTTTTATGGAATATTAGGTACACTATGTAGGTCAGCATGTTGCTTTATATAATACAAAGGTCTGTATGTGTAGGAAGATGTGCTAAACTGTATTAGGTTAAGTAATCAAGTAATCACTTCAAGTGGGATAAAGACTGAAAACACAATTTCCAAACTTTGGAGCTGGCATGTTTTATCTCATTCATAGATTTAGGTATTTTACAAGGTATTCCTATCAATATTGACTTACTTGATTCTCATCATAATTAGGTTACTTCCTAGCAGTTCATATCTCTTACCTGTTTAGTCAGGGTAATCTCTTTCCATGAACCTGCCTATGATTAGTCTTATCTTAGTTTTGTTCATGCTATTTTTTTTTCTGCCTTATATAACACCTTCTCCTAATTACTGGTCATTTAATTGAAATTCTATCCATTGGACAGTTAAGAATCAGCTCAATTCTCATCTTTGCCAAGAATCTATCTCTGAAAATTTCAAACACATTGATTTTTTTTCTGATTCCTAAACTCTATTGCATCTATTAGTAACTCATTTTAACACCCATTCATGGGCTGTTTTGCTCTGGAACAAAATTACTTTCCCAAGGTATGGTCAATCTCTGGTTAGATTGAAAATTCTTCAAGGTCAGAGAATGCATTTAATGTTACTTTTATACTCTGCAGAACATTTGACAAAGTGATAGATGACCAGAGATGTCCAGTAATCACTTACTGAATTAAATCAACTATAATTCTTTTTCAAAAATACATTTTTATTGATTTTTTGAGGGAGAGAGGAGGAAGATGGCTAGAGAGATAGAAATATCGATGAGGGAGAAACACTGATTGACTGCCTCCTGTACACACCCCACTGGAGATTAAACCAGTTCTATTCCTGGGCATGTTCCCTGACCAGGCATCAAACCAGTGGCCTCTTGGTTCATGAGTCAATGCTCAATCTCTGAGCCACACCAGCTGGGATACAGTAATTCCTGATTCTAGCTAGGTTCAGAAAATGTATGTATCTTTTAAATTCTTATTCTTCATTATTAAAATAATATACTTAAAGCATCCTATTACCTGTGTCAAGAAATTATATACTTTGTAAAATTAATTTATTTCCTAATCACTGTTGATATACCATATTATATTAGTTTCAGTTTTATAACATAGTTAATAAATATTTCCTTACTTATGAAATGATCATCCAGGTGCGTCCAGTAACCATATGACACCACATAGAGTTACTAAAAAGTTATTGACTATATTCCCTATGCTGTACCTTATATCCCCATGACTATTTAATAGCTGGCAATTTGTACTTCTTAATTCCTTTTACCTGTTTCTTTACCGCAACCTCCAGCTTTCCTCCCATCTGGCAACAATTAATTTATTCTCTGAATCTATGAGTTTATTTCTGTTATGTTTGTTCATTTTTTTAATCTAAAAAAAGTGAAATCATATGGAATTTGTCTTTCTCTATCTGACTTATTTCACTTAGCATAATACTCTCTAGGTCCATCCATAGTGTTATAAATGGTAAGATTTCATTTTTATTTTTTTTGGTGTGTGTATACGTATACAATATCCCATTATATATATATGGGGAGGGGAAAGTAGGTTTACAGTTGTAATACAAATAAATGTTGGAAGCCAGCAGAGTTGAGGCAAGCAACTCAGTCTTAAGGAAATAGAATTAAGTTCCTTCTAGCAGAAGTTATGAGGTGCCCTGAGGGCTTGGCCAGAAGATAAGATTAACCTGGGGCTTAGTGTCTCCTGTCTTC